TTGCATAGAGACCCTCTTGTTGATCCATAATTCGATTGACGGGATTTTTTCTCCTCGATTGTCGTACTGAACTCCGTCGACTCGAACGACGTGTTCCGTCGCGCGATATCACCGAACGACGTTTCACACGACGCGGTGTCATTGGCTTTGGCGAAACACTCTCGTCCTGAATTGGCGGCTCCGGTTGGGAATATTCAATGCTGTACAATGGTCGTGGTTGTTTTTTCTTCTTCTTCTTCTTACTGTGTACTGTCGAAAAGAAATTTTTATTTTTATTTCTCCTTTCTGTTGTTATTTCCCTTTATCATGCCATAAAAAATTACAGCTCATTTCCCAAAAGAAATAAAAAATAAAAAAAGATGTAAATTACAAAAATACTAAAAGTAAAATTCAAAAATACTATTAGTAAAATACGAAAATATTAAAACTAAAATACAAAAAATACAAAATATCAATAATATTACTTATTTAGGCCTCGGATTGACTTTAAGGAGCAGAAACAATCGATTCAAGGTATACAAAAAAATCGAAAAAGTCGTTTATTATATTCAGAGTTATCAACAAAAAATTTAATTTTCTATTTCCTGACTTTTCCTTGATTTCCAGAAAATTTTTCAAATCAAAACTTTTTCAAATCTCATCCCAATAATAATTTAAATTCTAACTTTTTTGTAAAATTCAATTATTTTCAAAGAAGATTTGGATACTTTAAATATTTTCTTTTTCAAAAAACGCTATTACTTTTAAAAAATTGTAATAAAATTTACAATTGTAATTCTTCTATAATTCAATTATTTTCTTGAATTTCTAACTAAATTTATTCAGAAGTTTAATAATTTATAAAAATAAGTATTTCAATATTATTAAATATTATCCAGTGGAATTAAAAAAAAAAAATTAATTTCAAACCTCCTGAAATTGAAATAATTTTGATGAATTAATTCTTTTTCAATTCAATGATATAAAATTTGCTACTGTAGTTTCTCCAAAATTTTATTATTTTCAAGAATTTCCTGATATAAAAAAAAATGTTAACTTTTCTAAATAGTAATAACTTTGAATTAAAATTTTTTTATAAAATTCAATTACTTCTAAACCTTTTTCTTTTATATTTTACAATTTGTCTTTAAAACCACAATTATTTTTGAAAATTTTGATAAAAGTTCTTTAAATTAGAAAAATTGTTTTAAAAAGATTTTACGAAATTTCCATTTTTTGGAAACTTTTTTACTTTCGAGAATTCAATTATCTTCAAAAATTGGATTTTAAATTTTCTAAAAACCGAATCTTTAAGAATTTCTAAAATAAATTATTCAAAACTTCAAGAATTTTGTTAGAGAAATATTTAAATACTTATTGTTATTTAATTTTTAAATTTAAATTTTAAAGAATTTCAAATTCAAAACTTATTGAATAAAAATTATTTTTGAAAATTACAACTGTAATTCTTTCGAATTTCGATTATTTTCTAGAATTTTAAACTAAAATTATTTAAAAGTCTAATAAAGTTTAAAATTAAATATTTAAATTATTTTCTACTAAACTTTTATATCAATAATTGAAATGTTCAAGAATTTTTAACTTCAAATCTTCTTAAATTTAATTATTATTAAAAATTCTACTGTAACTTCTCAAAAAAAAGAAAAAAAATTTCACTTAAAATCCGTCTAAAATTTGTTTTTAATTCAATATTGTAAAAATCTCTAAAAAATACAGCTGTCATTTTTCGTAAATTCAACCTGTGGCAATTATTTTATTGCCAAAATTCATAAAAATTTTAAAACAAGTCTAACTCAAAAATTAATTTTAAAAAATATTTAAAACTAAATTTTTTAAATTTTTGTTGGAAAAAAATTTAAAAAATCACATTTTATCGAATGAGTCATACTATCCAAGGCCTGCTAATTAAAAATTAAATATTAAATGTACATCAATTAATTACATATTTTTTAGACCAAATGCTGACGTTTGTTTATTAATAAATAAAATAAATCTAAATTTCCAAAATTTTCTCAAAAAGTTAAATTCTGTCATTTTATAAATAACAAAAAATTTTCTTTTCCTATAAATATATAGAAATATTCTACCAAAAAAAGAGAAAAACTACAAATATAATTGAATGTCTACAAATAATGATTTACCAGAAACCAGAGAACATTTAATAAATAGAAAATTTGTTAAAGAGAGGAAAAAAATAGAGTGAAGGGTTAATAAATAAAAAAGCAAGCTCTAGTATTGTAATGCACATTTATTGTAGCCACTGAAATGATGTGTAAAGTGAGATACAATATAATTAAATAATTCAAAATACAACTCAAGATACATGTTTTTTCTACTTAATAAACTACGAAACAAAAAATTTCTCCAAAATCTATAAACGAAACAAATACTTTTTTTCCAAAATCACGCAGAGAATTTGAATTTTTCTACATTTTTTTTAAAATAAGGGATGAACTATTTATTTAACCCTTTCGCCAATAAACGATAACAAAAAATAACTACCAATTTTTTTAAATTTTCTCTCAAAAATAAATTTTTTTTTTCAATTTAAAAAATAAAAACTAAAATTTTTTATTTATTTTTTTCATTTTTTCAAATTTAACGTATATATAACCTTTTACTTTAAATATATTTATTCAATATTAATTTAACGTTTTATATTTATTTATTTATTGAATATATTGACTTTTAAAAAATTAAACATTTTTCGATTATAAAATATTCTTTTTAAAACTACTATTTAAATATATTTAGAAAAATAATTTGTTATTATTTTCCTAACGAAAGAGTTAAATTCGTACTACCATGCAATAAATAAACCGTGATGCTTAAATAACAAAAAAAAAAGAAAGTTCCTCTACTAAGAACCATAGCCCCTTAAATGCGAAATTACAATTTATTTTCGAAAACAAAACTATATTAAATATTCACTTGTCAAGACAATATCATTGGACAAATATTGTTGCAAGTAAATTTTTCGAAAGCTATATAACTGTGAAGAAAAACTTTTTTTTCACTCAATTATGCAATTTATTCAAAAAATAAAACTAAAAAATTATGCAAAATTTATCGTGTAATTCTTTGTAAAAAAAAGAAAAATTGCAGAATGAGTGTTATCTTTTTTTTCTTACTTTTTTTCTCTTATAATGTAAAAATTGAAGCACTCAATGCGGCTTTTTGACCATTTTTCTAAGTATCACAGTCTCTAAATATTCATTCAAGTCTATGCAACGCAACAAGACAATTACGTACTACAAAAAGAAAATATAAATAAAAATAGAAAAAAATAAAATGATTTTCGAAAAAATAACAAAAAGGGTCTATTTGACCATTATAATGGAAGATATTTTAGAATTATCTTGCTTTTATTTTAGAACCTAATACTATCGCAAAAGGGGAAAATAGAATATTTAATACTGGATGCGTAAATATTTTAATAAATTTTATTGAGTCGAATTTTCACTGAATCGAAAAAAAACTTTTACCAATGAACGAATTTTTTTTTACCTAATTTTCGAAAGCGGTTTTTAAATTCTAAGTTTTAGTTCAGTGGAATTTTGATTTATAATAATTTTTAATTAATTAATAGATTTGAATTTTGATTTTATTTAATAGAATTTCTATTTTTCAGTAAATTTTTAATCAAATTTTTTATTTAACAGAATTGGGAAAAATTTCCATTTGATAAAATAGAAGAAAAAAGAACGAAAGTTATTTAGAAAATTTTTTATTTAGTCGCAAAGTTCCATCAAAAATGGAATTTTTATTTTTAAATTTTTTATTTTAATTACTCAATTTTTATTTGGAAAATAAAATTTGGTAATAATAAAAATTATATTAAAAATTAGGTTAAGCAAAAATCCCCTTGAGAATTAAATTTCAATGTGTCAAGAACTGAAATTTTTATTCATTGGCAGAATTTTAATTGAGCCTTTTTTTAATGAAAAAATTTCTATTAGACTAAATTTTCATTTGAAAAGTTCGGTAATATAAGAATTTTGACAATAAAAAATTCTACTAAAGAGAAATTTCTATGACAATTAAATTTTCAAAATTGACAGAAACTTCAATTTAACACAAAATTAAATTTTTAAAAAATCCAATTAAAAATGAAAAAATTTCCCATTTAGACAGAAGTTTTATTTAGAAAAATTTACGTTCAAAATTTCGGATAAATGAAAATTGCGTTGAAAATGAAATTCGTATTAAACGATTTGATGAATTGTTCTTTAGTCTCAAACTTCCATAGAACTTGAATTTCTATTCAACCGAGTTTTTAATAAAGGAATTTTTATTTTAATAAAATTGTTATTTTATTCAATTTTTATTCGAAAAATTAGATAAAATAAATATTTGGTTAAATGAAAATTCCGTTGTCAATTAAATTTAAATGTTACAAAAGCAAAAATTTTTATTTGTCAAAATTTTATTTTAATCGCAATGTTCCATCAGAAATGTAATTTATTTATATTTTAACAGAATGTTTAAAAATGAAATTTTTATTTTAATAATTTTCATTTGGAAAATTCGTTAAAATAAAAATTCTAACTTGTATTCAAAATTCAGTTAAATGAAAATTGCATATTCAATTCAATTTCAATAAGACAAAAGCCAAACTTTTTATTTGTCAAAATTTTATTTTAATCGCAATGTTCTATTAGAAAAATGGAAAACTTTTCTATTAGACTAAATTTTAGTTTGAAAAATTCGATCATATAAAAATGTCGACAATAAAAAATTGGAGTAAATAAAAATTTCTATGGTAATTAAATTTCTATTTGACAAAATAAAAAATTTCAATTCAGCAGAATGTTAATTTCATCGCAGTTCTTCAATTAAAACGAGAAAAATTTTCTATTTGACTAACTTTCAATTAGGAAAATCAGTAAAATTAAAAAAATATGACTTAAAAATTTGGCTAAATGAAAATTTTATTTACAGTTTTCAAATTCAAAAATAAAAGAAAAATATTAAAATTTTCTCTAAATAGAAATTCTATTAACAATTAAATTTTCATTCGAAAAAAATGCGAAATATAAGAAAATCGCTTATTGTAATTTTTATAAAATTATAATTCGCTGTTTATTTCCTTTATATTTTCATGCGAAATGGAAATTCCACGAACATAATCTAAACAAAAAATCCACTCTCAATTAAAATTAAAGAAAAATAATTTGAATTATTCAATTTAAGAAAATATTCCTGCATCCTTTCAATATTATATATAAATATACAGGAAAACATACGATAGGGAAAGACATGTTGAAAATCTATAAATATTTGGCAAGAGTAGGAAATAGAAACAAAAAATTCGAAGACAAGTTTTTTTCTCTAAATTAAGCACAAAATATTCCCGACTCAAATGAACAAAAAAAAGCTAGGTAAAGAAACATAAAAAAATATTCCGTCAACAGTATTATTTACAGTGTTTTTTTTTGTCAGTTCGATAAAAATCTTGTATTAAGTCTTTGTTTATAACAATAATAATAATAATAGGTCTAAAAATATAAGCGATGTATAAATATAATTATTGTAATATATAGAAAACGTATTTCTTTTCTTTTCTTTTTCTCAAAAATTTGTGGCAAACATGGAAAGAGGTCGACTGTCTCTCTTACTCCTGTTAGCACCCTCACGTCTAGTTAAGCTGTGCTGCTGTTGCTGTTCAACAGCCAGTCTTGGATCAGAATAAAACGATCTTAAAGGCTGTTCACGTATGTAATCAGTGAAAATACGCGGCTTATTAATAGGAACTTTATTCTGTTTGCTCGTATTATTTCGATTTGATTTTGATTTTTGAGCAATCACTGGACTATATCTTGACGAGGAATTATAGTGATGTGATCGATGATTTTTTTTAAATTTACTACTACTACTACCGCCATCCTCCAATGAATCATATTCATTTATCGGTGACACGGGTCTTTGTAAATGATCAAATGGATTTGAATAATCATTCGAATAATCAATATATTCGAGATTTTGATTTTGATTACTTCGATTACTGCGAATTGTATTGTCATTTTTGAATAAATTATTATTATTATTATTGTTGTTGCTGTTGTTATTGTGATTTCGACCGCGACCTATACTATTAATGAGCTTTTCATTGGGTTTCGGGAAAGTCGATTGATGTGAACTAGTTGTGCCGGTTGAGAAGTTTTGATTGGAATTTTTATGGGAGTAGACAGGCGGTGGTAGTGCCGAGTAGCTAACGTACATTGGATGTAATGCCGTGTGTCCGGCCAAACCAAAGTCACCGCCTCCGACAAAGTCAACTGAAATTTACCCACATTCCTCTTTTATTCAATGTCAATTTTTTTTCTTCTATTTACAATACTTATTAAGAATTTTTTAAATAAAAAAAAAGAATTAATTTCTCGTGGCGAGGGAATATTTTTGTCTCTAATTTTCAATTAAGAACGAAAAATTTCAGAAATAAACATTAAATAATGATAATTAAATGAATATAGAAATTATAATTAACAATCACTATTAATAGATAATTGTTGATAAAAATAATAATTATTTAGAATTTGTTTTGCTTTTCGGTCATTCAATTTATTTTATTATTAACTAGCAAATGTTACGCGCGGAACGTGATCTTTAATTTATTATTATTATGCAAATTATAAAATTTTTAATTTTCAAATATGAATTTTTGAATAATTTCAGATTCGAACTTTAAAAAAATTCAATTTTTAACTAATTTACTAATTAATTTTTCTTGTTTATTAATTTAAAAAATTTTATTAAAAATTTTTCACAATCATTCAAATATTTTCATAAATAATAACATTGTTCGTAAGAATTCAATTATTTATATAAAAATGTAAAATTTTTTGCAAAAATTCAATTACTATTTTTAAACAAAATTTTAATACAATTTCACGAACGAATACAATTATTTTCTAAAATTTTAGAAACAATTCTATTATTTTTTTAAATAGTAAAATCTTGGAAAAAATTCAATTATTTTCAAAAAAATTTCACAAAAAGATTCAATTTTTTTCTTAATTCGTTATAAAATTTTTGCAAAAATTGAATTAAATTCAAAACAATCTCATAACAGAATCCAATTTCTTTCTTAATTCTTTACAAAAAATTTCAATAGAATTCAATTATTTTTAAGACAATTTTAATAAAATTTGATTAAAGAATTCAATTCTTTAAAATTTTTAATAATAACAGGGTGGCCGCAAGTCAGGGAAAAACTGGAAATCAGGGAAAAGTCAGGGAATTTTTAAAAATTCTTTAAAAGTCAGGGAATTTTGATCGAAAGAAAACAACAAATTAAAAAACTTTGATACTTAAATGTCAATTCAGTTTTTTATTTAGACGTTTTTGTAATATAGCTCATTATAATGGTGACGTCACATTTTTTATAAGTTTGGACCTTTTTACGGACATTTTAATGTAGAATATTAAATAATTCAAAAATTTGTTAGTCAGGGAAAATCAAAAATTAGTCAGGGAAAAATCAGGGAAAAGTCAGTGAATTTTGAAAATAAAATTTTGCGGCCACCCTGTAATATTTTTCGCAAAAATTCAATTATTTTCTAAAATTTTAATAAATCTTTCGAAACAATTCAATTATATTTATTAATAAAATTAATAAAAAAATAATAAAATTTTAATAAATCCTTCGAAACAATTCAATTATATTTATTAATAAAATTAATAAAATTCATTGCAAAAATTCAATTGCATTCAAAACAATTTCACAAAAGAAATCAATTTTTTTCTTAATTCGTTATAAAAGTTTTCAATAGAATTCAATTGCTTTCTATATAATAAATCCTTCGAAACAATTCAATTATATTTATAAATAGTAAAATTCATTGCAAAAATTCAATTATTTTTAACAAAATTTCACAAAAGAATTAAATTTTTTCTTGATTAATTATAAAATTTTTCGAAAGAATTAAATTTTTTTTAAATTTTAATAAAATTAAATGTTTAATTTCAATTATTAACAAACACGATTATTTTAAAAGTAATTATCAATAATAAAAAAAATTGACATCCAAAAAATACATCCTAATAAAAAATAATATATAATTGACTTTGTTTATTTTTCATTCATTTAAGAGAAATATTTTTTGAAATTAAACTTTACATATTTCGAAGTTTATTTATGAAATATTTCGTCATTTAAAATTTCTTTTTATCATAATTTCCAAAATAATTGATATTGTGGAGAATTGTATTTGTTTTTTCGCCAACACCAGAATTTTTTGTACCGAAAAGTAATCGATAAAAAATTGAGTAAAAGATTAATAGAAAATTAAAAGCTCGAAACTAATAAAAATTAAAATTTATAGTACACAAAAAACTTTGATATCCCACTACTACTGAATTTCATGCTTCATAGATAATAGTCATAGTTATAATAATAGCAATAGCAATGCGAAGCAATAATAATGAAAATAATTTAATAATTTTTAATTCATAACATAATTAATAATAATAATGCACAGGTAATAATAATATTAGCCGTAGGAATAATACCTAAAAGGAATAATAGTAATAATTTTATTAATTATAATAATGATAATAGCGACAATAATTATCATATAAAGAAAAGCGTGCAGATGAAATTTAGATAAGCGAAGCACTTACCAAAAAGGAGGATCAAATCCACCAATGAAATCAACTGTAACCGACAATCCCTCTTTTCAACAATTACTTCCAATTACCAAATAGTAAATTTGAATATTCAATATTTTGCCATTTTTTAAATTATTTGAAAATCGATAATTTCAATCGATTTTAATTTAGAATGGAACAAAATTTTAATTGACAATGAAAAGAAATTTCAATTTAGAATAAAAAAATTCAATGTAGTACATAAAAAAAATTTTCAATTTAGAATAGAAAGAAATTTTTAATTTTGAAAAATAATGTTCTTTTACAATTTTTTAAATTTTAAACAAATGATGAATTTTTTGTTTCAAAAGCGTTTGCTTTCAGCATGTTAATTTGTTATTTGAGAAGCTTTAGTAGCCACAATTTCTTTTTCAAGCTAAAGCTAAATTATTTGAAGGCACGATAGAGAAATCTTAATAATTTCTAATTTTAAATAATAAGAAAAAAATTTCAATTTTTCTGCTCCGTTTTTTTACGGAATAATTTATGAATATATTATTAAACAACGAATAAGCTTTTTCTGTGAAAAAAATTGTGCGAATGTGCTATTCTTCTAGTAATAGTGTGACACTTCTTTTTATACTCTTGTATAAAAATTATTTGTGTACTTACTTCAAAAATTAGTATTGACTATTTTTTTTTTATCGAAATTTAAGTAAAATTTGAAGTGAACATTTTACTACTCACAGCTATCGTCTTCTTCGAGAAAAACGCGGCTGAGACATATTCCACCCACGACTGCTATGACCTAAAACGAACAATTAATTAGAAAAAAAACTTAGTAGCGAAAAAAAATTTAAAGAGTAAAATGGGGGAAATTATTCTCAATTAACGAAGTTGAAGTGCACAACGTTGATAATCGAAAAAAATTTTTTCAATTTATTTGACCATCAATATTAAGAAATATTTAACAAATAATCAAATAAATTAAGAATGTAACAATTTTTTTCAAAAAAAAAAATATTTTCTAAATTAAATTTTAATTTTTAAATAAAAAATTACTCAATGAGTAATTGAACAATTCCACGTGAAACTATCATGTAAAAATTTGATTTAATTTAATTTTCCGCAATTGATTGAAACTCTGATAAATTGTTAAATCGAATTCAAAGGAAATTATCAATTATCTGATAAATTGTTGTTCTGCATAAAAGAATAAAATCGAAAAGTATTAAAATTCTTAAATATTAACGAATTAACTATGAAAGTAATAAAATCAAAAAAATATTAACTTTTTCAGTAATAAATTGTGCAAATTATGCGGATTGCAATTATGCTTTTTTAAGCGAAATTTTTAATTACAAATTTAATTGAAAATCTGTATAATTTCGACAAAGCTTGAGATTTTAATTTTTAAACAGTTCTTATATTGGATTTTTTGAGGACTTTTCAATGACAAAAATCTTTTTTCAAAGAAAGTTATTGATCCCTTTTTTATTGAAAAATATCTATTATTTCTCAATATTTACAAAAAACACTTCTTTTTCATTTTATTATCATTTTTACTGGAAAACTGAGATTCTTTCCAATAGAATATAAAAAAATGAAAGTGGGACAACAATATACTTTCGAGAAAATTAAAAAAAAAACATTTTAAACACTTTTTTTATTTTCTTCAAAACCATTGTTGTCCCACTTTCGTTTTGTTATATTTCATTGGAAAGAATCTCAGTTTTCCAGTGAAAATGATAATAGAATGAAATAAGAGGTGATTTTTTTGTAAAAATTGAAAAAAAAATTATTTTTGAATAAAAGGCCCGTGTAAGTAAATAAAAGGGTTAAACAATTTTTTTGAGAAAAGATTTTTGTCAGTGAAAATAATATAAAATGTACTTTAAAATTCACTAAATAAAAATAAAATCTATTTTTTTCAAATTGATCAGTTCGATTTAAAAATTTAAAAATATTCAAATTAAAAAGCAAAATTTTTATTAAAAATTGTAAAGAATTATTTATAATAGTTTATAATTTAAATTATTTTTAGAAAAATGTAAAAATTCTTAAATAATAATAATTGAATTAAATTTTAACGTATTACTATTTGTAAAGATCTCTTTAATTTAAAACAAAAAAACTAACTAAAAGTAGAATTTTTAGACTTTAATTAGATTTAAGAGAAGAAAGAATAGTTACAATTCTTTCGCTGGCAATTTTAAACAAAAAGAGAGGAATGAAATAAAAAACTTACAGCCAAGATACACTGAATGGACGCGTGTAAAATTTCGATTACTTCATATTCTAATATACAACCAGTGACATTGGTGGGTCGTGCTGGTCGAAAAAATTCTGGTTCAATATTGTCATAAATTGGTTTACATCCTGGTCCATTAGCCAGCCACCAGGAAAAGCTGCCAGTACCAAAATTCAGTAAATCACTTTTCTGAAATCAAGTTGAAAGAAACAAGAAATGTCAGTCACATATAATATGTAAATTCCGTAATAATAGAAAAAAAATTGGTAAATTGACAAGGACGAATGTATACAATTTGAAAAAGTTAATTCTACATAAATCTAAATTACTGCTTCTATTGTTTCAATGATTCACCTCAACATGCATGATAAAAACAATCAGAATGAAGTAATCTCTAATATTAAAACTTGTCTATCGAAATTAAAACGTAAAATATAATTGTCAAGGTAGACAAATGAAAAATTATTTTTTAATACAATTGTAAAAATTAATTAAACAATAAGATATGAATTTTAATGTTTTTATTTATGACAAACAATATTTTTCTTGGACTTTGTTTTTTGAACTTTTTTATTTTCTTACTTTATATTCTATTTTCGCAAACTTTTATTTTCGTTTTATTTTTATTTCTCTATTTTTATTTTTGTACTTTATATTTTATTTTTCTATTATCAGGCCACAGATCGACTTTAAGGGGCAAAAAAAATCGAAAAAGTCGTTTTATTTAATTCAGTGTTGTCACAAAAATTCTATTTTGTATTTCCCTGACCTTTCACTGACTTCTAAATTCAATTATTCAAAACTTGAATAATTTTGTTAAATAAATATTTAAATACTTATTTGTTTTTTTACAGGAAATAAAATTCCTTCCAAAATTCAATTATTTTTTTAACTAAATTTCATCTCTAAATCAATTATTTAAATCCAAAAATTCAATTTTTTATAACAATGGTTTATTTTAAAAAGTTATTAAGGTATAATATAAAAATCTAATAATAATAATTGAAATTTGATAAATACTTTTAAAATTAAAAGAATTTTTGAAAAATATAAAAAAATTTTAAAGAATTTTAATTAAAAAATAAAATGAACATGTTTTTTCCAAAATTTAATTAAGTCTGAAAAATTAAATTTTTAGAAATATTCATTTACTTGTTCGAAGATAATTGATTGTTAAAAAATTATGATAAAACATTTCTAAGAATTAGTTTTTTAAAAATATTGTACTGCAATTTTTTAAAAATAATTGAATTTCTTTAAAGAATTTCTCAAAATTTCTGTAAGTTAGAGAAAACTAATAAATTTTTTTTGAAGAATTTTAATTAAAAATTTTGAACATAATTGTGTTCTCCAAAGTGTTAAAAATAATTTAATTAATTAAAATTACTTTTTAGAAGCAAATTTTCATTAATTTTCATTTTTAAATTTACACTTGAAAATTTTTGATTATTATTGAGAATTTAATTATTTTAAAAATTTGCAATTAAAATTCTTCAAAAGTTGTTTTTTAAGAATTGTAGTAAAATACTTTTAAAAAAAACTATTTTCAATTAAATTTTACAAAATTTCAATTATTCTAAAATTCTTTAATTATACAAACATTTTAAAAATTTTATTATCGTAAAAAAATTATTCAAAAATATAATTTTGAAAAATTTGTCTACAGTTTTTTTTCACACTATAAAAATCAAAATAAGTTGCATTTTATACTAAAAATTGTGGTATTTTATTGCAACATTTGGAAAAAAGTCAAAAAAAATTGCAATTTTTTGAAAATAAGTCGAAAAAAGTCGCATTTTTTGAAGATAGTCAAAAAAAGTCTTAATATCCGAGGCCTGTATTATGTATTTTATTTTTTACTTCCATATTTTGTTTTATTTCTCTATATTTTCTATTTTATTTTTACATTTTTATTCTTTCGGTATATTTACGTTTCAAATTAATTTTTTTTCAAATATAATATTCCTTCAATTTTCCTCCATTTGTCACTATTAGAAAATGTTTCCATTTTAGTTTTCAAAGAGGGGTCAGTTAAATATAATTAAATAAAGTAAATAAGTAAATCAAGGTAATTTACCTTATCTAAAACACCAGCACTGACGTAGAAACAAATTACAAATATGTTCCATCCCAGCCAAAGAATATTCCAAATACAGTACTGAAAAAAATAGTTTAATTAATTTCTAAATTTCTAAATTTATCCATTTTGCGTTATATTTTAATTTCTGATATTATTTGGAAAAAATACAAAAATTTTGAAATAATTTTTATCAGTTAACTATGTTGACAGAATTATTTTATTTTTATCATTATTATAAAATAATGATAAAAATAAAATAATTCAATTTATACTAAATATTTAATTCAGAATATTATTAATTATTTCGATGCTATTTATATAATATAATTAAATAATAATGAATCTAGTAAAATATACTAACAAATAATATATATAAAATAGAATATAATATAAAAATTAATATTTACCTATAGAATTTTTACTATTTTTTTAAAATTAAACTAGTAAATTAAAAATTATTTAAAATTTAAATTATAAGATTTTATATTTAAGAAATAAAAATAAAATTCATTATAAAATTATCATTATTGTAAAAAAAAATGCAATTATAATACAAGGTAATACTTTCAAATTAAAATTACATAATTTAAAATAAAATATTAAATTTATCAATTATTTATCTTGCAGTGTAGAGGAATTTTCATTACTCATACGTGTAATATTTATTCATTGCTTTCCTTTTATTCCTTCCTTCCTTTTTTTATAAATAAATAATGGATCACTTTCGAGTGAAATTATAAATTTTCAAATGAGCACCTGCCATGGTCTGATGATCAGGGAAGAGTCTCGTTATATCTCTCTAATCCATCTCTCATACAATCAGCGAAGAGAAAGTGTATATGCAATACTAATTACAGAATGAATCTCATTTTCAAAAAAAAAAAAAAAATAGCAAATGGAGAAATTAGGAAAATATTTACCGATATAATGTATTTAGGACGATATTGAAAGGCTCCGAAAAATCCGAGAATCACGAAAATCAAGTTGAAAAAATTGACCAGTATCGGGATCCACATAAATCCCAGAAAGTCGAAGACTTGTCGCTCGATGGTAGTGATCTGTAAATAAAAATTTATTTTTCAATTAAAAATTAAATTAAAAAAAATTTTTTAATTGTAAAATATAAACTCTTATGTGTTAGATATATGACGATTTATTAAAATCATCTTTTCTTCGAGGGGGGATCATCTTTGTAAATTGTAAGTGATAATTTACCTAATTTAGTGTAATTGTTCTGTGTTCTAAATAACTTGTTTAATTATTATTGTGTCGGGCAATTTGAGTCTTTATGAGATGATCGTGCACTTTGTAATAAGAAGTCAGAATTATCTCGCACTTTAAATTTGATAATATAATTCGCGAGTAAATGGAGAATAAAATTTTTAAAAATCATTCCAATAAAAATTGTTCCTAACTCGAGATTATTTAGATCAATTTTTTGTTTAATTCTAAAAAATACTTCCTGAAAAGATTGTCATAGACTATATAATAATATTAAATTTTCTCAAGTGTAAAGAGATTAGAGAGCTCAATCGAGGTCAAGTGAAAATCTAAGCAAAAATGGCAATACTGGAAAAGTTGTAGATTTCATTAAAACCAGATCATTGCACAATATGTGAAAATTACGCAAAAGAAATTAATCACTTGAAAATTTATATCTAATAACTAAGAAATACAAATTTATTCTAAAATAGAATAAAAATATCTTTAATTTTTCCCCCCAAAAAAAAGGAAAAAAGACCGATGAACTTAATCGAGGTCGAGAGAAATTACTTATAGCAAAAAAATTGTAACTTCCAACAATAATTATCCTCATTACCGAACGATAATTAAAAAAACAAGTCAACGCGAGAACGCGACTCTTCCTTTTTTTTACAATTTTTTCTTACACGTGTTTTATTATCATCGATCTTATCTTTCACATTTTTATGCTCCCACGAATCATAAAACCTATTCAAACATTTTACGATCCAAACTTTCAAACTAAAGATCTTTGGAAAATTAAAAAAAAGAAAAGAAAACAGAAACTATTGCCGCAGAAATAAGCGGATGATAAGTGGTAAGAACGTAAATTTTCTTTAATCTCAATTTAAGATCATTTTAATCGGTTAATTTAAATTTAAAGTTATGTAAACAAACTATTGGGTGATATTATTTATATCACCACAAGACTTAACCAAGAAAATCGAGGTCGTTTTAAAATTTACAGCGGAAACTCACAACCGCTTTTAATCAGGTTTTACCACTTTTAACATAAAAAAGAATGTAAAAAAAATCTGAAAAAGCAAGAAATGGACAACGACTACCTTAAACGGATCGATACAGTAAAGAATCCTTTGTCATCAAGATAAGAATGCACTCATTACTTTCTCACGAGTCCTGTATGTTACCCTATTCAACTTTCAAAGAATCGCGTGAATCACGCAAAGCTGGAAAGATGTATATTATAAAGACATTGTCTCTTCTCTTAAAAAAATTGTTTTCCTGATCATATGAGAGAAAATATAAACATCGTTTATAATTGAATCCAAAGTCGATACGATCAATAAATTTCTATCGTCTTGCTTTTATACATTAGAAGAAGAAAACACTTGAAATATTTGAAAAAGAAAAATTAACTTACAAGTTGTAGAATGCATAATGTCAATAGAAAATATCTTCTGCTGCAAATTCCCATGTCATTTGGACAAAAAGATGATGCTCTTCTACGAGGCCCCAAGAATTATATTCTCGAAATTTTGAGGTTAACAATTTTTTCACTAACACACTGCATCGTATTTTTAGTCTACCGCGTTCCGATGCATCGCCATTTTTTCTTAACACACTGCACTTGTTAACTTGTTGTTACGCTTTTCGTGGGTGCTTGAATGCAACCTGGCATCATGGTTCCATAAATGATGCCTCTTACTACTACTACTACTATACGAGGTTACGGAGTCCAATATGATTATCAACGCGCAAGCGTTAATTTGACTCACAACGTTTATAACCATTCGGCGGGGAAATTTAAACAAACTTTTTCAATTTCATTCGAAAAAAACATATTTTTTATACACTTGAAACTCTGTAATTTTAAATAATTCGAAAAAATAGAATTTTCTTCTTAATTTTAGTTATTTTTGATCACAATTCAAAAAAAAAAATGTATAGATATAGAGAATTTGAAAGGTAGGCAAGGTTGCCAACTTATTTTCACCTTCAGTTTGTTTTATTCTATGCAATCCAGCAGGCGAAAAAAATTAAATCTATTGGTAACACTGATTATTTCTCTGGGATTTACAAGAATAGCAAGGATTTAAAAAATAATTTCAAATGGTTTTACTTTTAAAATGTTTCGAATTATTTGATATGATTTATTTGAAAAATTTATAAAGAATAAAAAGAGGAAACATTAATAATTCTCAAAAAGGGAAGTATATATTTAAAATTATTAAAAATGAATATCGTTTCCAGAGAAATTTAAATTGTCATGTGCGCCTGTAGAGAAGCAATTTCAGTACAACACTGTCTGACAATTTGCATTTATAAGGAAATACTAATTAATTATTATTAGTTAATAATTGTACAATAATATGACTATTATTAAATAATAACTTTATTAGTTAGTACAAATAATTAAAATACTTTAAAATTAGTAAATAATAGTAAAAAAATTATTATTAATATTATTATTATTATTATTATTCAAATAATTATAATAATAACAAAAATAAAATAATAATTATTAACCAAATTGATAAAAATAATGAAATAGGAATATTTCAGCTTTATTTATTATTATTACTATCAAATTATTATTATGATTTATTGTTTAAATAATTTTATGATTTTTTTTTTATTTTTTATTTATTTTTTTTTATTATGATTTAGGTATTATTACTTTGTAAATTAAAAAACTTTATATCTTCAAGAATAAACATAAATTTTTGAATGATTACAGATTAAAAATTAAATATATTCTTGTTTATTATTACTAAAAAATTTTAATAACATTTTTCGCGAGAATTTCATTATTCTCATAAATAATAATATTTTTTAGAGCAATTCAATTTTTTTCAATACAACTTTAAGGGGTTATATACAGTCACGATTTTCAAAAAATCGATTTTTTTTGCATTTTCTTAAAGTATATATATATGCCTGTTGTGAAAAAAATTTTTATTAAGATTCGAGAAATATTTTCTAAGTTGCAGACAAAACTAGAAAGGCGCGTAGGTTTTTTAAATAAAATTAAAATTATAATTTTAATCATCATTTGAAGACGATTTTTTTTCATAAAAATGAACTTTCTTTTTGGCTGTCATTTTGTCAAAAAGTGATATTTTCTTAATTCCAACGATCAAAGACTACATTTTTTCATACAATAACAGAATCTATTTAACTTTTTGATCTCAGATGATTCTATCAATTGTTATCTTGTTCACCGAGGAACACTTTTTTTTCGAGGATCTTTGGGAGATAAGCTGCAGAGGCCAAAAAAAGTAATATTTTTACAAATGAAATATTTTTTTTAAACTTTAAAAGATGTAAAACATTATAGGAAAACTTTCGCTTTAATAAATAAAATTCCTTTTACAAAAAAAATCCCGAAAAACTGCATTTTTCCGACCGCCCGACTGTATCAAAAATAATGACCGAATCAAAAATAATTTATGTTTTCTTTAAAAAAAATATCATACCCGATTTATTTTGATTTTCACCATTTTCTAAATTTCTGTTTTTCTTTTAAATTACCTGAAAATTAATCGTTATTTTTAAGAAAATATAATTTTAAAATTAGATTAATATTTAATAGTTAAAAAAAAATATAAAATTAAATATTAAAAATACATTTTTTTTATTTTATTTATTTGAAATTTAGATAGTAGATTTTATTTCGAAATCTATCTTGATAATTTTGAAAAAAATGTCCCGAAACCTAAAAAATAAATTTACCTCACTTGTTACTTTATTCATGTACTCTATAGACTTATCGTAATCTCTTGACATTTGGGAAAGTTTGAATATGAAATCCAGGTGCAACCAAGGGTAAAAATGTCTAGTTGCTATTACTACCATTGCTCTAAAAACATAATTATTCATTAAATGGATAATATTCGAAAACATGTATTTTTGTATTTAAGCAAAACTATTAATTATTAACTGTTTAATTCATAATAAACAATTACTGATTATCGATATTTTTCTTAATTTTTTAGTCCATTTAATTATAATTGTCAATATGTATAATTAAAATTTTCAATATAATTATAATTATAAATATTATGATAATTATAATATTATAAAGGGTATAATTATGTAAACCCGTGTAATGAGTAAATGAATAAATAATTGAAAATGTAATAATTTAGGTCATGTAATTTGAAAATAAAGTTTAAAATATAATTAAAAATATAACTTTACATAATCATTATTATATTAAATTTTATAATATAATATTCATATTGCAGGCTGACATTGCTTCAAAGATATTCACTTCAATCCCTCGGCATTCAGTTATTAAATGTACAACGAACAATTTGGAATGCTAGTTAAATATACTTCCAGAAATGTTTGCAATATTTTGGTGTTGAATGTCGGCTGAATTAGTTTACGATTTCGTTTCCACACATTGACTTCATATTTCAAATAATATTTAATTATCGAAATAATAATTACCATAAAATTATGTTCAAAAAATATTTTTAAATTATTATAATTTTCTGATAATATCATAAATTAATAAAAAAAATTTTCCTTTTTTTAATTTTACACCCAGAGAAATGTTACATTTAAAACAAATATAATTTGAGTAAAATGAAAGTATGTCACGTAGTCTACTAAATTATTTATTGGAACCAAACAAAATTTATTTGAAACAAAAAAATATTACCCAATAAATCGACAAAACGTGATTGTATTTATTTATTTATTTATTATTGTGTACTAAATAAATAAATTATTTATACATATTCTAAACACGAACAAAAAGAAGAAAAAAAGTGTTTAATGTTCTTAATTAATATTTCATTAATTGCAAAATAAATTATAGAATAAATTAATTAATAATTAACTAGAAACTAATTAAAAATTAATAGAAAACTATTAATGCACAGAGAGAATAAAAAGCAATTGAAATAAAACAAAGTGCAAATATAAATTGATACATTGATTTCATTATATATATATATACCTAATATTTTTGATTTTTTTTTCTAAAAACAGTTTAAAGAAAATATTATAAAACTGTTCAAAATAATTTCTAAAACAATTAAAAAAAATATAAATAAAATATACCAAAAGTATTCAAAGCAAAAATATTTAAAGAAAAAATAATTATAATTATTAATCATCCAAAAATATTCATAGATTAATGTTCCAACGTTTATAAAAAAAATGTTCATAATAAATAAATTACAAAAGTATTTAGAGAAAAAAGTATTCAAAGATTTTATATATTTAACTTTTAATTTTGAATTAAACCTTAAAGTACTTAAAACAAACATATTAAAAAAATACGACAAATAAATATTAATAAATATTCCGAGAGTATTCAAAGCAAAATTAAAGAAATATTCAAACAAATATTCCACAAAATTCATAAAATACTCCAAAAGTATTCAAAACATAAATATATTTAAAAAGTATTTCATTGAAATATTCCAGAAAAAAACCATAAAATATTAAATTATTAAAAAAAAAAATATTTGAAAAATTTTCCAAAAAACAATATACAAAAGAAATATTTATAAAATATTCCAAATAATTATTATTACATTTTTTATATAAATATTTCTCTAAAATTACACAGAAATATTTATAAAAATGTTTCATGAACGCATTCGAATAAAATTATACAAAAATATTTCGTAAAATTTCAAAGAATATTTCTGATTTTTTCTATTTTCATGAAAATAGAATTAAACATTTCCGAAATATTTATTTAATTATAAATTGAAATATGTCACTCAATTTGGGTAATTCAGTTTAATTTAAATATTTGAAAATTCAACTTCATTATATAGTAATTTATCAGTTTAATTTTTAATAATTAATTCAATTTAATTACAGTAAATACAATATTATAATATTTACAATATGTTAAAAAATAAGAGCTATGTGAAATGGTATGAACGAGTAAATTTTTTTATTTACAATGTACATAATTACAATAATATTTTTTTATGTTCACATCGCATATTAACGTCTGCATTATATTTTTATCGTCGCAAAAATTACAGAAAAAAAGTATGTCCATCTTAAACCTATGATAGTAATAATAATTAATTATAATAATGAAAAATTGCATAAAATGTGGCACCCTTTGATTTGACTATATATATATATATATTTATTATAATTTTCATTTATTTATATTATTATTATTAATAATTAATTCGTTTATGTTCATATTATGTATATTCCCATGCAAACCAAATTATTCAATAACGGTTTAAGTTGAATTTACATTTTCTCTGTTTATGAGTAAAAAATGCTTTCATTTTCATTGAAATAATATTTTTTTTATCTTTTTTTTTAATGAAATTTCTTAAAAATATTTCGCTTATTATTTTTTTGTGAAGAAAAATATTGTGTGTTGTTTTTAAAAAAGAAATAAATCTATACAGAGATTGTTCAAGGTCCTTAAAAAAGTATTCGGCTAAAATCGATAAGAAAATAAAGAACCTCGAACAGTCCGGATTTTTCAATTTTTCTTTTGTTTTAATTAGAATAATCGTATATAATTAAATGAGGAATTGATAATTTTACATATTTTTCGTGTGTAACGTGTATTAGAAGTAAATTTAACAAAATTTTTTTTCAAACTTGCAATGTCGCTTATTATATTTATATGTTTGCTTGCTTTTGTTTAAAATACTTGAATACACTTCGATATATATTTTTTATAATAATTTCCACAGGAACTAAATTTTTTGAGTAGT